GATATCATAGGCATCACAGAAACCTGGTGGACTGAGAGCAATCAATGGGACGCAATCGTTCCGGGGTAACAAAATATATCGGAAGGACAGAACGGGTCATGCGAGGGAGGGGAGAAGGCGGGGGGGGGCACTATATGTGAAAGAAAATGTAGAATCAAATGAAGTAAAAATCTTTAAGTGAATCCACATGTTCCATATATTCTTATTAGAGCATGAAATTACTATCCATAGAAATTCTAACATTAGGGCTCTATTATCGACCACCTGACCGGGCCGCTGATAGTGACGAGGAAATGCTAAGGGAAATTAGAGAGGCTATCAAAATGAAGAACTCGATAATAGTGGGGGATTTCAATTATCCCCATATAGATTGGGAACATTTCACTTCTGGCCGACATGCAGAGACAAAATTTCTCGATACTTTAAATGACCGCTTCTTGGAGAGGCTGGTACAGGAACCCACAAGGGGAGAGACAACTCTCGATTTAGTCCTGAGTGGAGCGCGGGAGCCGGTCCGAGAGGTAACTATAACAGGACCGCTTGGAAATAGTGACCGTCGTATAACAACATTCAACATACCTGTGATGGGAAGAACATCTCAACAGCCCAACACTGTGGCATTTAATTTCAAAAGGGGGAACTATGCTAAAATGAGGGGGTTAAACAGAAATTAAAAGGTATAGTGACTAAAGTGAAATCCCTGCAAGCTGCATGGGCGCTTTTTAAAGACTTCGTCATAGAGGCCCGACTTAAATGTATATCCCACATTAAGAAACACAGTAAAAGAACCGCTGTGGCTTAACAACCGTGTACAAGAAGCAGTGAGAGATCAAAAGACTTCCTTTAAAAAGTGGAAGTCAAATCCTAGTGAGGGAAATAGAAAGGAGCATAAACGCTGCCAAATAAAGTGTAAAAATGTAAGAAGAAAAGACAAAGAGGAGTCTGAAAAACGGCTAGCCAAAAACTCCAAAGGAAATAACAAAATGTTTAAGTACATCAGAAGCAGGAAGCCTGCTAAACAACCGGTGGGGCCCCTTGATGATCGAGAGACAAAAGGAGCGCTTAAAGACGATAAAGTCATTGCGGAGAAATTAAACAAATTCTTTGCTTCGGTCTGCACGGCTGAGGACGTTGGGGAGATTCCCAAACCTGAGCCGGCTTTTTTCGGTGACAAATCTGAGGAACTGTCACCGATTGAAGTGTCACTAGAGGAGGTTTTGGAATTAATTGATAAACTTTACATTAACAAGTCACCGGGACCAGATGGCATTCGCCCAAAAGTTCTGAAAGAACTCAAATGTGAAGTGGCAGAACTATTAACTAGCGTTTGTAACCTATCCTTTAAATCGGTTTCTGTACCCGATGACTGGAAGATAGCTAATGTAACGCCGACATTTCAAAAGGGCTCTAGAGGTGATCCCGGCAATTACAGACCGGTAAGTCTAACGTCCGTACCGGGCAAATGAGTCGAAACGATAGTAAAGAATAAAAGTGTCAGGCACCTAGAAGAACATAAATTGTTGGGCAATAGTCAGCATGGTTTCTGTAAAGGAAAATCGTGTTTTACTAATCTATTAGAGTTCTTTGAAGGGGTCAACAAACATGTGGACAAGGGGGATCTGGTGGACATAGTGTACTTAGATTTCCAGAAAGCCTTTGACGAGGTCCCTCACGGCAAAGGCTCTTCCATAAATTAAGTTGTCGTGGGATAAAAGGGAAGGTCCTTTCCTGGATTGAGAACTGGTTAAAAGACAGGGAAAAAAGGGTAGGAATAAATGGTAAATTCTCAGAATGGAGAGGGGTCACTATTGGTGTTCCCCAAGGGTCAGTCCTAGGACCAATCCTATTCAATTTATTCATAAATGATCTGGAGAAAGGGGCAAACAGTGAGGTGGCGAAGTTTGCAGACCATACTAAACTGCTCAAGATAGTTAAGACCAAAGCAGACTGTGAAGAACTTCAAAAAGATCTCACAAACCTAAGTGATTGGGTGACAAAATGGCAAATGAAATTTAATGTGGATAAATGTAAAGTAATGCACGTTGGACGAAATAACCCCAACTATACATACCATACTATGGGGGCTAATTTAGCTACAATGAATCAGGAAAGAGATCTTGGAATCATTGTGGATAGTTCTCTGAAGACGTCCACGTGGTGTGCAGAGGCGGCCAAAAAAGCAAATGGGATGTTAGGAATCATTAAAAAGGGGACAGAGGATAAGAGGGAGAATATCTTATTGCCCTTATATAAATGGATGGTACGCCCACACCTCGAATACTGCGTACAGATGTGGTCTCCTCATCTCAGAAAAGATATACTGGCGTTAGAAAAAGTTCAGAGACGGGCAACTAAAATGATTAGAGGTTAGGAATGGGTCCCCTATGAGGAGAGATTAAAGACGCTAGGACTTTTCAGCTTGGAAAAGAGGAGACTAAGTGGGAATATGATAGAGGTCTATAAAATCATGAGTGATAGGAGAAAGTAGATAAGGAAAAGTTATTTACTTGTTCCCATAATACAAGAACTAGGGCTCACCAAATGAAATGAATGGGCACCAGGCTTAAAACAAATAAAAGGAAGTTCTTCTTCATGATCAACTTGTGGAACTCCTTGCCTGAGGAGGTGGTAAAGGCTAGGACTATAACAGCGTTTAAAGGAGAACTGGATAAATTCATGGAGGTTAAGTCCATTAATGGCTATTAGCCAGGATGGGTAAGGAATGGTGTCCCTAGACTCTATTTGTCAGACAGTGGAGATGGATGGCGGGAGAGAGATCGCTCGATCGTTGCCTGTTAGGTTCACTCCCTCTGGGGCACCTGGCGTTGGCCACTGTCAGTAGATGGGATGCTGGGCTGGATGGACCTTTGGTCTCACCCGGTATGGCTGTTCTTAAAGCGTCCTCCGTCTTTCCTGTTGGAGCTGTTACACTTTTTAATTGGTGTGTGCTGCGCCAGTTAATAATCACTCTATAGTCCAGCGGTTTGGATGCTTGCTGGGAGATCCTTGGAGTTCCTGGTTCAAATCCTGCCTCGACCTGTTAAGAAGGAGTTGGAATAAGGATGTTCTACCTCCCTGGTGACCAGAGAGGCAGCAGATTCCTGTTTAAGTCCCCTCTCTGTCGCAGGATGATGCTGGGAGAAATGAATAGGGGGCGACTGAGCTGGACTTATCTTTAATAAACTGCATGTTGGGGCTTGTGCTCAGACTGGAAACAAAGACTGATATCTCTCAGGCCACTGCTGCTCCTTTGTTCCCTGAATCTCGTTCCTACGCCCCCTTCTTTTCCTTTCTAATGCCCCCGTTTTGCTTCTCAGGCCCATTCCTAGATGCTGCAGTCATGCTCCGAGAATCTGCTCCCTAATGAAAATTGCTGTTGTATGTCATCTCCTATAAGCCCATAACTGGCCTCCCTCCAGTGGGCTAACTACAGCTACCACTTTATTTTCCATTGGCTACAAACTGGCCCTGGGCAGATTTGGTCATTGCTTACAAATGTACTTAGACACTGTGGGGATGGTGGCTATTGAACACCATAGGTAATCAGCTAGATAGTTGGCTGGGTGGTTTTACGCAGGTGGCTTAGAGGTGAAATGAAAGGCTCTGTAGCTTATTGTTACCATTCTGAGCTATGTTACCTCACCATCCCCAACCCTCTACTTGAGCATCTTAAATTAGGATGGCTCAAGACTTTCCCAAGGGGGCTATGATGGTATGGAGGGGATCTAGCTTCCAGGCTCCACATTACCCCAGACTGACCTCACCTGAATCCCACAGCATCAGGACCAGAGCCCAAGAAACTTTCCAGAAAAGCGAGAAGCTCATCTTTTATGGAGTGTGGGTCAGCTGCAATCACTGTCATTTGAATATTGTCCTCAGCCAGTTTCCTCTCGCCACAGCTTGCCTGCAAGTGTGAATAAATCCTTGTTGAATCTCTCTCTCTCTCTCTCACACACACACTGCCTCTTGTGCAGGGTTTGCTTTTTATCTCCTGCGGCTCCTCTCTTATTTCACTCACTTTTATGCTCCAGTGTAAGGAGTAAAATGCTCTATAAAACCTTCACTGCACGGCCCGTGTTCACCATTGTCAAGCTGCAGAACTCGGGATGTAAAAGTTAGGGAATGAAAATCAATCAATCAATCGTGATTGGATTTATAGCGCTCCCTGTGTGCGAAAGCCCAACAAGAGCTCTACATTTTAATCAGTGCAGAACCGTATCAAAACTCCTGCAAACAATAGAAAAGACTAACCCAAACCACAGACAGTGCAGCTCCCGGCTCTATATGCCTGTTCTATCCATTTAAGTTACTTACTTGGCCCTGGTCACCGGAAGTATCTGAGCACCTGACGCTCTTCAATATTGTTGCCCCTTTTTGACCTGGGCAGCTGGTCAAATTTCATTCATGGCCTTAGGGATGTTCCGGTCTGGAGTAGTCTGGTATTTTCTTTGATCCATTTTTTATTTACAGGGGATGTACAAAGTCCTGCTCCTCTGAACTCAGGAGGAGCCAAAAATAAAAGGAGCAGTTTCTTAGCCCCCCAGCCTCTTCAGTCAACACCAGACCCAAGAGCTTACTCCCTCTAGCTTTCCCCAGGGTCACTCAGACTGTGCTCACAGGCTCCTTCTTGCTTTTGGCCTCTGGCTCTTTGTCTCTCACTCACACACACACACACACAGGATCACAAAAAGCCAGTGAAACCCGCTGTCCAAGTAGTGCTAGTGTCTGGGCAGATTCTATTAGGCGCTTTTTTTTTTTTTAAGGGGTGAGCCCTTATGTGTTTCTTACAACTATTTTAAATGATGGGCCTGTCCACACATCAGTTTGAAGGAGGTTTGAATTCAACCCGTAACAAGGTTTCACCCGGGCTCACAACAATATATTTATCCTTAGAACCCCTGATGAGGTAGGGCAGTACTCTTATCTGCATTTTATAGATGCGGAAATGGAGGTATAGATCCTCAAAGGTATTTAGGGTGACCAGATGTCCCAATATTGTTGGGACCATCCTGATGTTAGGGGCTTTGTCTTGTATACGCAACTATTCCCCCCCCACCTCCCACCCCAGAAAAAAAAAGTGTCCCGCTTTTTCACACTTGCTATCTGGTCACCTGGACAGGGATGGTGTCCCTAGCCTCTGTTTGTCAGAAGCTGGGAATGGGCGACAGGGGATGGATCACTTGATCATTACCTGTTCTGTTCACTCTCTCTGGGGCACCTGGCATTGGCCACTGTCAGAAGACAGGATACTGGGCTAGATGGATCTTTGGTCTGACCCAGTGTGGCCGTTCTTATGTTTTAAAGATATTGAGGGTCTTAAAGGTATCTTCTGTTGATATAAATGGAGCTTAAATACCTTTCAGGCTCTGGGCCTAGGTGACTTGCTCAAGGTCACAGGGGAAGTCTGTATCAAAACAGGGACTTGAACCCAGGTATCCCAAGGAAATCACTAGGAAATCCTTCCTCTCTAACATGTAGTGGAGTGAGTGGGCTCTCGGCTTACCATTTAGGAGATCAAAGTTCTGCTCCTCTCTTAGACTAAGTTCTTTGGGGCAGGACCTGTCAGGCTCTGGGTTCTAGGCAGTCAGGCCTGGTGGTTGGAGCAGCAGTCAGGTACCACTGTTTGATGCCGAACGCAGAGTCAGCACCAGGCTGAGAGCAGCACTGAAACCAGGATCCAGGGACAGGCCGTGAGTCAGAACCTGGGTCAGCGTCTGTAGACAAGCCAAATCAGGATCATAGTCAGAGTCTGGACACAGGCCGAAGGTTGAAGCCAGACTGGAGTCAGTCTAAGGGTCTGGGCATCAGGAGGTGGGAGCAGGGCTGGAGCAGGGTCGGAGCAGTCTGGGACAAGGTTCAGGCAGGAAGAGGGACAGGATCGAGGGCAGGCTGGAAAACTAGGGAGTCTGCAACACCTTGAGGTAGCTGGAGGTTTCCCAGCTGAGGCTGAGCAGTGCCATTGCACAGACTAACTTGCGGCTCTGGGGGTGAGAATGAAATACCTGTGCCTGTGGGCATCTGACCCGGCCCCTGCCCATGGATAGGCTGCTGCAGCACGCCCGAGAGGTGGAACACTGTAGCCTTTGCTTGAGCAACGAGTTAGTGCAGCCGAGTTGCTGCAGGCTGCCCGAGAGCTGCGTCGCTGCAGGCTCCGCTGGAGGGCTGAGGGTTGTAGCAAGGGAGCAGCCCTGGTCCAGCAGTGGGTTTGCCTCACAGGGACTCTCTTTTCATTAAAAGATTTTCAAAGGTACAAATGGGAGTTGGGCGCCCACCTGCCATTGACTTTCACTGGGATTTGAGGTCCTAACTGCCCTTTAAAGTCTATCCCTGTATGTGGGTATAGCACCTACCCCAATGGAGCCCTTGTCCTTGATTAGAACCTCTCTGTGCTACCACAATAAACAGTAACACAAGTGAGAAATGTAGAGCATTCAGTTTAGCTTATCCTAAAAGGAGAAGGAGTGCACCGTGACTTGATTATGGTGCGTCAGTACCTTGACGGGTACTAAAGGGCCCTCTAATCTAGTGGAGAAAGATATAATAAGAACCAATGGCTGGAAGCTGAAGCCAGACACATTCCAAGTGGAAAGAAGAGAGAGATGCTTTAACAGAGAGGGTGATTACCTTTTGGAACAAACTGCCAATGGAACGGTGGAGTCTCCATCTCGTGACGTCTTCAGATTCAGACCAGATGCCTTTCTGGAAGATAGGCTTTAGTCAAACACAGGGCTAACAGGGTGAAATGTAATACAGGGGTCAGACTAGATGATCTAATGGTGCCTTCTGGCCTTAAACACTATGAATCTAGGTCTTCTTATATTACTTATTTTCTCCCTCTCTCTCTTCATCCCTACCTCTCCCACTCTGCACATGACCCTACAATAATTGATCTAGGTCTGCCAATACCAGATTCTCCATTCCATGCACTATATCGGGAACAGCAGATTTTTGCACAGGTTGTTACACAGCTCCCCAACTGGCTATGCTCTAGGATGTTGATTCAGTTGGCTTCCAAACCCAGTCCTTCAGATACCTCTGCTTCGCTCTCTCTCATCAATCATTGATTTCTCTGTGCACTCTGTTTAAAAAAGAAAGAAATCAATATTACACTAGATAAGGCTGAAGGCAACAGCACGAGGCAGGGCCAAGGGGCCAACAAAATGCAAAGGACAAGAAGCCGAGCTCCAAATTGAGCAGAGACGTCACAGGAATGATGGAGCAGAAGAGAGTGGTTGACAGAGGCAGATGGATGGAATAACAAAGAAGGAGAGAGAGAGAGAGTGTGTGTACTATACACACACAGATTACAGACAGATACGGAGAGGGGGCAAGAAGCTATACAACTGAAAGTCACTCCTGACTCAGTGGCCTGTGAGATAGAGTCTCTGTCATGGTCCCAGTGACCCCATCAGAGAAACCAGGATCAGAACTGGTACTAACTGTCCCTCTTCTCGGCTGAGAGGCTAAGGAATGAAGGGGTTGTGGAAACTGGACTCCACCCCAATGACTCTAGAAACTGGGTTTGCGCCTCAGCTGGCATTCCAGTCAGAGTCACTTTATACAATGTAGTTCCACTTTGCACTTCTCTATGGCCTCCCAGCTGTGAAGCTCAAAGCATTCTACAGACGTGAATGAATTCAACAGGACAGCGCCCCTTTGGAAGAAGGGGCGTGTGATGGTCCTCATTTTACTAGTGGGACACTGAGGTACATAAGGATTAAGGACCAGATTTTCGAGACAGCTCAGCACTGTGGGGACTGAGATCTTTTGAAAATCTGTCGTTAAGTGTCACCCAGGGGCCTGCTGGGTGAACTCTTCTGAAAGTCCGGCCCCATGTGACTTGCCCATGGTCGCATAGCTAGTTGCTAATGTAACCCAGGAGTCAATGTGTGTTACCGATCCCCCTTTCTGCCCAATCTACAGAGGCTCTCAGGAGACCTGGCACTGTAACCCATGTTATCGCAAGTCATGCTTTCAGCTTTGGCAGTCCCTGGTTCAATCCCCAGTATGTCAAAGAAGATAGCAGCCATCCCACACTAACAGAGCCAGGAATAGAGTCTAGGCTCCCAGAACATGCTCCCCCCCCCTCGGGGCACTGCCCTTGCCCGTAGCCATTCTATAGCACTGCAGATAGAAGACTCTGATCTCCAGGGGTATCAAACACACCTCTGGACAGCGCTTCATTCCCCAGTGCATAGAAGGGGCTTCCTTTATCTCCAGTCTTTTCACAACTCCTAATCCTGTATAAATATTTTGCCCAGTTTCAGCCTCATTAGTAATAACAATCATGGTGTAATGACCAGGTATCAATTTCTGCTCGGGGAAACAGTCGCAAAAAGATCGTTACTTTCCACTTAATTAGTCCAACCTATTTTTTCCCTAACATTGCCACATGGAAGTCCATGGTGTTGACCTGGCAGGGACCTGCTTGGGAAGAAAGAGGGTTCTGCTGGCTTCCATTTTGCCCTGGGGGAGCCATGGTCCCCATAACAGACACCTCTGAACAACAACCATCTGCTGGGGTGGGGTAGGAGTAGTGAAATAGCCATGGGAGCTGGATTGCATTTCACAGCCTTGTTTGACAAGCCCCTTGAAGGAGCCAGAGATAAAAAGGAAACCATAGCAGTCGAGTGATAGGATTGCTAATTACCTGCATCTCCTTCTCACCTCTTTCCCATCTGAATCCAGTCAACTCCTTGGTCAGGAGAGTTTACATGGGCATGCCTAGATAAAGCTGCTGACATTTACAAAGCTCAGTGCGCCTCTCTGCTTGCTTCGCCTGCAGGCAGCTTGGAGACAGAAGACTACATGGAAGAAGCAAACCAACGCAACGAACAAGTGACAGGGGAGGTCAGAGCAACCTGGGACATGGAAACTTCGAGGCATTTTGTTTACCAGTACACACATCTAATCAGACCTATGTTTTTCATGTGCTGCTGGATTGGATGCAAGTCCCTCTAGTCAGGGCCGGCTCCAGCATTTCTGCCGCCCCAAGCCAAAAAAAAAAAAAAGCCGCGATCAGCAGCAGCAATTGGAAAAAAAAAAAAAAGCCGCGATCAGCAGCAG